ATGGGCCCTCGAACAGCACTGCCTAGCAATCAAATCCCTCGACTGCTCCTCGGCGCTGAGCTCGTCCACATAAGCCCAGCCTGTGGGAGGCAAACTGATGCAAACTTCGAGGGACCAGGAGCACACATCGTGGCCATCCCTGACCGTGCCTTTCTCGATGAAAGCCTGGCCGTGCTTGATACGTCGACACGTCTTAGGGATTTTGTTTCTGCACTTGTCCCACCTCTGCCCAGCTGTAGAGAAGTGGAAAGTAGTCCGAAGCATACCGCTCCTGGTCTTCACTGTAACACAAAAATGCTCAGAAGCTGCTGCTCGACGTCTGTTTTGTGTCTCCAAGCGTACATGGTGGCTGACACGGCATGGATGACACGGCGTGCCACAGATGCAAGAGCTACAAAGAAGTTGCTGCCATGGCTCAGTGCCCTCCCACGAGAAGCCCATCCACCTGCAGTGGACTATTTGATGGCTGTCACGCCGTGGGGGATACATTCTGCGGTCTACCTCTTTCATGACAACCCGCCTCACATCTTCCTGAATGCTGTCGATAAACTCCTGGATTGAGGTTGCGCGCAAGTTCTCCATAACGGGTGAGGGGAAGCTTCCACCGAGCTACTTCTCTCTGGATCCACAGCACCCCAATAGGGCAAGGTCCCTGTACACGTTCATGCCTTCCCTTGTGAGAATCTTGTCATCTCCGGTCGGTGCACACAGCCAAGCAAGCAAAGGTGTATGCTTATCATTGACAGTTTCTCTTATCGTTCTCATGCAGTGCTTGCCTGCTTCTCGCTTTCTGGGTTGGTGTCGTCGAAGCGGAGATTGCACTTGCCATTGAACTTACTCGCCTCAAAGGCTGACGCGTCTCAGGAACCTACCGCTGCCAGCCTACCTCAGTTGGACGTTCTGAGCCCCCTGGCTATGCCAAAGTTGAGGCAGATCGACTTCACGTGACCTTCAATCGACACCACACGAAGGACGTGCAGAGTTGAAGAATGAGGCTGCTTGTAGCTGAGAAGCCAATGTGTAAATAGCCGTTGGGCTCGGGAGGAAACCGAGTATGCACCCGACCTGTCAGCTGTCCCAGCAAGACTTCGGAAGACTGCGGGCACATGCGGGCACATGCGAGCACATTGCGGCACTGTGCGGTTGGAGCCTGAATACGTTCCTTTGTCGATGTCCTTCACGACAATGTCCTGAAAAGCCAGGTTGCAGCATTCCTATGTCCTTAGAATCCAAGAATCGACAAGCCATTCTGCCAGCAACCCTGCGCTGGCCTCCACGAAATTTCCTGCCTCTGCCACATCGGTGGCCTGAGCATGGAGTGGGCAATGAAGCTGCATTTCTCGTCTAGGCATCAGGCTCGTGCCTGCGCAGCCACCACTGACACTCGCGAGCTGCCTCTCCAGCTCAAGCTCTCGCAGCGGCTTCAGCAAACAAGCGTAAAGCAGTTCTGTTGAGGCTGCGTTCAGGTCAAGCTCGCCTCGAGTTGCGCATCTTGACTTTGCAGGGAGCAGTGCCCGGCAGCCGCCTGCAGTCAGTTTGTTGAGGTCTCCAAGCTTGTTCACACAACAAGTATTGTTCTGAGGTGGCTGCCAAGCAGCAGTGCTGAGCACACAGCCTGCGGCTGCTGATTCGGACGGACTATCCTGAAGAACCTCTGACCTGTCCCCTGGAATGATGAATGCGTGAAAGCTCTGGGGTGCTCTAGGTTCAACTCTAGGCCTTCCAGAAACATGCAAGATGTGCAATGAACCCAAGGTCGTTGTGCAAACTTTAGAAATGAGAATCTGACCCCGAGCCAAACCACTGCATTCCACTGATTCTCTTCAGGGGCTTAAAACTGCGAGGGGAAGGTCATGACTTGCTGGCTTGAAGATATGGGAATATTTGTGGCGTCGATTAAGCAGGGCGAGGGCCGCATCCCCTCACCTGCACACTCTGAAGTCCCTACTAGGTGCCAGGTGCAAGAAACGTCAGCCTTCGTCGCATCAGTTCGGGTACTCGAGGCGACGCGCCGGGGAGCTCGGCGGCTCAACTCGGCGCTCTCCTTAGTGCTTCGGCTTTGCAACTGGGTGTTGGAGTACAATGAACTTAGCCGAGCACGGCATATTCAGAAAGCAGAAGCCACAACGAAACTTTCATCGAGGCAAGGCTCGCTGGGACCAAGGATTGCCTTTGCACCCAGGGTGTTGGGGATCAGCACCTTGGCCATCCTCTGCAAAGAAGACATCAAGCAGCCATCATTCTGGAGGTTTGACTTGCCGGTCAGGCGTGCGCATATGCATACTTGTGTAAATACCTATGTGTGTAGAATATTGTATATGCCTGCATACACATGTACGTATGTATGTGTGCGGGCTGTCGGGGGGCTGGTACTCGAGTGAAGAGTCTCCTCAGAACTGTCAGAGCGAGGTGTCTCTAAGGCAAGGCTGCACCGCTGCCTAGGTGATGACTATCTATTGGCTGAACATGTACATTCGACTCTATGTTTCAAGCTAGGACATGGCTCCCGCCAGTAGACCAGACAGGGGCATGCGTGAGACGGGACAAGATCAGCAACGATGCTTGCAAAACTAACTTCGGCAACCCACCATATAGGCCGCTCCATGCTATCCGCCTGATCCACTGCAAATGCAACCTGCATAACGTGCTGTCAGCAGACAGAAACCCAAACCCCACATCACAGCGCCCCGCGGGTGGCTAGATTCCTGCTTTTTTCCAATTGATAAAGCAATCGAGCAAGCTTCGCTAACGGTCTCTGCGCCAAGTCTTTCCGATTTTCGGTGGCTGCGCAGCTGCATTAACTTCAGACTCTCACCTCAAGACCCGAGAACCAACAAGATTCGAGGAATCGAGCCCTGCGTGTTCTTAAACGCCCCCAAGGACGGAGAGAGTCTGCTGGGCAGGATGGCTGCCGATGTGTACAGAATCCGGCTGTCAAGCCGGGAAGGCGAGTTTTTACGCCCACGGTGTCCTCCGATGTTGCTTTAAACTTAGTCTCCCCTCAGAAGTCGACGAGACCTGCCCTTGGAAGATCATGGCACAGCATGAAGAAGATCAACCGAGTAGACATCCGGTGAGCTCTTTCGCTGCACTCAGATCCGCACAGTTCCTTTGCTTCAGAAAACTGGGCCTTTGAACACAGTCAAGGAAGCCAGAAATCATGCTCGCGCGAACACCTACTCTGATCTAGCAGCCTTGTAAGTACTTACAAGCCTTGAATTGTCTCCAAAGCTGTTGGAGGCCTGGTCCTTCTTGCTCCCCTTCTCTTTCTTTTTCTTCTTGTGCTTGTCACTTGCTCCAGCATCCTTGTTTTTGCACACAACTTTGGACCCAGCTTGAAAGATGACGCGTCTGCGTGAAGACAAGCAGCATACGGATTCACCTCATCGTCCATGAAAGGGTCCGTGCTCTTGCTCTTCCTTCTCTTTTTGTGCCTTGCGTCGAAACCACCAGCATGCCTATTTCAATGGACAGTGGGGTCACTGGGGTCTGAGATCTGCCGGAACAACTGGCGGCCGGACTTCTTGTCGCCCTCCTCTCCGCTCTTCTCCTGAGTGGGCGACACTCAGAGCAGGGGACAGATTGGGCCGCACACCCGCCGTTTCCTTCTTCTCCTTCTTCCTTGCTTTCCTTTCGGCCTTCTCCCGCTTGAAGTGATCCATGCCTGAAAGCAATAGACGACTCAGTGCTTCAAAGGCCACAGCAGCACTCAAATGAGGGCACCACTCGCATAGTCTTTTCCAAAGATGGTCGCAGCCAAGGCGTTGTCCTCATGCTCCTCACCTTCTTCCGATGCCAGGTCCTGGAGAGCCCCTCATGCCACATCAACACGATCGCTCTGCAACACTTTTTCTGTACCCATGAAATTGAACCTGATGATGAACATGGCCAACCACGACACTTCCCTTCATGAACCTTTTTGAGACCCGAAGTAGTGGCCCATACTGTCCGTGGAAGCATGGCTCTCGGAGCTATCGCTCAGCCTCGGCTGCAGGGATGTTTCATGGATGGACTTCAAGGTGATGTTGTTGGTGCCAACAGCAAAATATTTACGAGTCTGTAGAGCTTCAGGCTTCCAAGATCTTCCAACTTGACACAGAAGCAAGCAAAACGCGCAAGGCCAAGAGTTCGTCCGATGCTTGGCCCCTGGCCCCTGCTCATTGAAGTTAGCAGTCAGGTCCATGAGCTTGAAGGCAGACTGGTACGCTGGGTGTACCTCACCACTTGGTCGCTGGTCTGTTCGGCAGCTAGGCACTGTAGGAGCTCTGGCTCTGGTCAAGTTAGACACAAGAATCATAAGACACCTAAACTCAAACGCCATACAACAGCTTGGTGACAAGAGCTTTCCTACAAAGGGTTTCCTTCTTAAACGCTACCCGTGGTCTGGCCACTTAACTTAAGCGATGGATGTGCAATCTCTGCACAGGGCACCCTTGGCTGATAGGACGGAACCAGCCTCCGCTGCATGCGCGCCTGAAAACGTGGTGTTGTGGCTTGTGGGAATGGCCAGGAACAGCGGAGCCCAGGCATGCGTGGCAAGCTTTGACGATGAGATCGGCTGGGGCTATGCGGCTATGTGGCCTGCACGACTTCATCGTAGAGGTAGCCAGTCTGAGTCAAGTCGAAATACCCGCATGGACAGCATCCAGTGGCACCACAGACCATCAGCTTCAGTCAAGATGAATCGTGCCAGTTCCCGGGATGCATCAATTTGGCCTTTGTAGAAGTTTGTTGGGACAAGAGTGCTCAATCTATGTGAGTCTGGCAGCTTACAGTCAAAACCCAAACAACTCCGAAAGCAGCTGCCTTTGATCGACAACGCCTGCACAGGACCAAGAAGAGCGACCTGACCAACTTCCAGGGGACATGTTGGAAATTCGACAGTCGATGTGTCGTGAAGGCCACCACAAACGAGCTCTGCAACTCAAAAAAGACTCGCTGGCCGCGTCCCTGCTTAGGGAGAGAAGCTTTTAGGAAGAGATGACGGATGCTAACATACAAGCAAAAACGGACGCCATGCGAGGATGACCTGGGATGTGGTGGAGCCTGAGAACAAACCTCGCTGCCAACGCCTCAAGATAGTGAGGTTCGGCAGCACGAGCAAGCAGCCGACCTCCGCAGTCGAGTGAATCACAGCCAGTTCGTCTCGCACGTACTGAACGCCCCAAATGCCGAGAAGCCACCATGCTGCTAAACATGGCACGACGCACCAAACCCATATCATGACAGCATGACGACCGCACGTGCACGTGCGCACGCACGCACGCACACGCATGCAGAATCACAGAATCACAGAATCACAGAATCACAGAATCACAGAATCACAGAATCACAGAATCACAGAATCACTGAATTACGCCATCGCACAATTGCACAATCGTGCAATCGCACACTCACGCAGTCAGATAGGCCTGCTCAACGCGCACGCGCCCACGCATCCAAGGGGTGCACACAGTACTCGGGCGCGTCGCGGCCGCACAAACAGAGGTCTTGGAGGCTTCGGGGTCCCGTGTAGTACGCACAGGCCAATGTTTTCGAGGCTTGCGCAAGCCTTGAAAAGAGGGTCTTGGAGGCTTTGTCCGGCTCAACATGACCTTTTAGGGTTCAGGGCTTGCTACCCGATGCGACCCTTCGGGGTCCAGGGCTTGCCACCCAACATCAATTTTTCGGGTTCTCCGGCTTGGTTCACAGGGTTTAATTAGGCTTTGGCTAAGACCTTTTGAGGTTCAGGGCTTGCCACCCAACATGCCCCCAACATCTTCTTCTGGGCTTCGAGTTTGCCACCAAGGCCGGCCCCAAGCCATAAAAGAACCCGGCATGCCCTAAGCCGGTGGCATGTTCTACCAAGGTCTTGAAGGTAACCCTTTGGGGTTTGCAGGCTTTCGTTAGTTTCCCCCAGCCCCCCAGACAGAGCCCTGCCGAGCATTCCCGGCCCAAACACAAACACACACACACACACACACACACACACACACACACACACACACACACACACACACACACAGGCGCAGGTTGGCACCCCGCGTGCACCTTCGACTCAAACCTCGTGTGCACATTCGACCTGGCGCCCCAAACTCAAACACTCACCCACACACGCCCGCCTGCCCGCCCAACAGCACACACGCACGCACCCACACACACACACACACACACACACACACACACACACACACACACACACACACACACACACACACACACACACACACACACACACACACACACACACACACACTGTGCACATTATGGTTGTGTGCATGATTATGTTCATGTTCATGCTCATGCTGATGCTCCTGCTCATGTTCATGTTCATGTTCATGCTCATGTCCATGTTTATGTTTATGAATGTATACATGCATGTATGTTGACTTATGTATAAGTATGTGCATCTCTGCATGCGCTTTAGTTTTTATGCTTATGCCTATGCTTATGCTTTTGCTTGTGTATGCATGCGTATGTATTTGTGCATATGTATGTATATGCCTGTCATGTATGTAAGTGTATGCATGTGTACGTATATGTATGTATGTGTATGTATGTGTATGTGTGTGTATGTAGGTATGCATGAATGCATGCATGCATGCATGCATGCTTGCATGCATAAATGCATGTATGTATGCATGCATGTATGGGTGTATGTGTGAAGGTATGCATGTTTATCTATTTATATATACACAGATTCGCTACATTGTTTGATACCATACACATATAGACTGAGTGGGGACGTGCAAGCGCTGATGAAGTGTTTTTGCTTGAGCCCCGACGCCGCACGGTCTTGTATGCTCCTTTCGGAACACCAAAAACCGTCAGAATCTGATGTCTTGAGTTTGCAAGTACAGCCTTCCGGCAGGAAACAGCAATTCATCTAGGAACATGTGCAGTTTCAAGGTCGGATAAAGGTGCTCGACTAACAACTTTCAGCAGTCCAATAAACCAGATATTTTTCTTCTGATGTTGAGGCGTAAGAAGGCGAAGCTGAAGATGGAAGGCTCGGAAAAGTTTCCCGTTCAAGAGAGCGCACGCCCGCGTCACGGACGGGTCAGGGCCCGGCCGATGTACTCTGCTGTTAAGAACCCTTCGTCCTAACCCAAGAAGCTCAAAAGGGGTCTAACGAGGAACGGATCATGTTTGCTGAACAGCTCGACAACAGCTCAAGAAGAGCTGCTTGGCTCCCGGCGGCGGAGAGGCCCGGCAGGAAGCCAAAGAACCAAGCTGTCGGATCTCGGCTCTGACTTAGGGGGATGAGGGACTGCAAGCCTACATAAGCTTGCCAGAATATCAGGGGTTTCCATTCCATACGACTAGATCGTTTCCTGCCCATCTTGATTCTAGGCGACGAGTTTGGGAATGAAATCGCCCGCCAACTTCTACAAGACAGGACCCTGGTTGAGCCCTATTCCCTTATTGCGTCCACGGCCCGAAAGTTTTAAAGAAGCGACGGACCGAGCTTACAGTCTGGACTCAACCTGTTCTTCGGGATCGTGCGTCCATATACCCAAAACATGAAGCATCCCTGCCGAGTTCTGGGCTGCAGGTCGGATTGAAAAACATCTCGATCATACGGAAGTTCTCCCTGCAGTATTGGGCGGCGGCGGACAGCAAGCTTGATCGCAACGCGTCTGCATCGAACTATCAGCTGAACCCACGCAGCACTTCCGATGGGGCATCCAAGCGGCATGAAGTACTTCTCCCGCAGGGCATTGTCGTCGCTTTCAGAGACACTGCCTCGCAGTCCCGAATGCCAGCAGGTAAGAACCCGTAAACCCTAAACCCTAAACCCCAAACCCCAAACCCCAAACCCTAAACCCTAAACCCTACACCCTAAACCCTAAACGAAAACTCATAGGTGGCACCATTGGCACCCTAAGCTCCCCACCGCCTCACAAGCCTGAGCTCCCGGCATCCCGCCACATCGGACATGAAGAGGATCCTCTCAGGATCGCGCTGGGCATAAACCAGCCTAAGGCCCAAAACTCTGAAGTACTTCTGACTCCTGAAGCCCCCCCAAATCCCAAGTTCCGAAACCCTGGGAAACCCATCAAACACTTCATAAAAGGTGACCCTGAAGCTCCCTGTTGAGAGCCCGGCGGATCCACCCACACCAGAATACTGGTAGCCTGATAGGTCTCTCATTGGCTCAGCTCCAGGGTTCAGTTTTTGTTTCGGGCTTAGGGAGCCTGACACTTGGGTCTCGGCTTTTCAATGTTTTGGCACGTTTTGGCTCAGGCACTTTGGGGTTGAAGCAGTTGTTCGGTCACGAGTTTGAGGCTTTTGGGCTTTTCTTGGAATGGGGGAGACCATGGGAGTCTCCATCCCCCTCCTCAACCCGAACCCGAGGTCAACCCAGGGCCAAGACGGAACGGAGGACCAGGCCCCAGAGCAGCTGATCAACCTGGCCCCCGGGCGTTTTTGAGTGAGTTGCGCGATGAGATAAGAAGCACCGGGAGTATGATTGCAAGGTGCAGTCTAGAATCCAGTGTGCGGGTCCATGGTTGCCCAATTTGTAACTTTCAGGGCACTACTCCTGCGCATGTGAGGGCCTCAAGGCATGCAACACTAGGCACAGCATGGGGGGGTTGTTCTGGTCCAGCATGGCCATCCATATTTTAAGTGGCCAGGCTCGCGCAAACGCGTGCGATGGTCTCATCGTACATGGGAGGACGTCGCGAGTGGCGCAAGAACACGTACCAGTCCACCAGGTAGCCTTGTCCGAAAGCTGGGAGACGGAAGAAACGTTTTTAAATTGAAGGGCCGATGCAGAACTTGGACCCTTGCGCGTGAAGCAAGACACGGCAGCAAGAACATTCCTCGGCGGCCAATGCAGGGAGGGGGGTCGGGCGGATCGCTTTTTCAACTTCTCTTCCGACTCCAAGAGCTTGAAATATGCCCTGAGTGCAACCTTGAGCTCCCTGCAGCAGAGGTAGGGCTGGGCCGAAGATCATGGCAAGGCTTGCTGTCACAGCAATCTCGGCCTCAGGCACTTCAACATAAGGGATCCCGCCCTCGAATCGGGGAGCACGAAAGGAGGATGAGAGAGGCGCTGCATTTTGTTTGAAAATAATTCTCGGGCGCCAGCAAATCCTTCTGCCAACCGGAACCTCGGTGATGTTTCTGCCAGATACTCGGGGAAGTGTTGAATAGCAGCGCTCGAAGCCTTCGAAGCTTGAAGCTAGTGCAGGCGTCTTGCAGTCGCATGACCAAAAGTTGCTGAGAGCTGAACTCTGGATTCACGTACAGGTTCTTGAGATCTTCCTCTTCAGCCATGAGTGGAGTCACTCTTCCCGAACCACCTTGTCTTTCTGCAGCTGAACCTGGCTGATCATCTTCCGGGCCTGACGGGTGCCCCGTGAGTCGGCCGAGCTACGTGAGCAACTGCGGTCAAGATCGGTCAAGCCTTCCGCCAGCGACCGCATCGACGGCACCCTATCGCCAGCAGGTCGGGCACCTGAAAACAAGAAGAGCCACACGAGAGGCGCTCTGACTGGCGCTCCAGTGCCTGAGGGATCACCATGCGGATCCCCATGACAAGTGTGATCACGCATCCCACCCAGCCATGCCACTCCCTGGCCAAGATCGCAGCTAAGTAAAGATTATGTTTGAGCTGGCGATTTGCAAGCGAGCTGACGCAGCCGCATCGACATTCCGCCTGTCCAGGCTCAAGGCTTTCAGCTCAGGAAGGTTTTGACACTGTGGTGACGAGACGCGCCTATGTCCGTGCCCTCGATCTCGAGAAATCGAAGGAGCCAGCCATAGAAGGCCTGCCCCAAGCTCTGAGAACCGACATCATCGGATGCAGTTTTTGTTCGCTCCCTTTCTAGGTTTGCTCCCTTTGTTGCGGGGTGAGGGAGGGCCTCGGGGAGTTCGGGAGGGGGGGGGGCCTTGTTACACATTGCTCGTATGATGGCTTTGGGGGAAGGATTCATCTGGGTTTTGCATGAGTGTCCATTGAGCACGACTGCTTTGAAGCAAGTTTGCATGGCTTAAGGGAAGGGGCGGGGGGGGGGGAGGGCATCGTATCTTAGAAGCAAAGCATACGACAATTTAGTGGTGTCGAGGATTGTTGCCGCCGCTGCTGCCGCCGCTGCTGCCGCCGCCGCTGCCGCTGCCGCCGCTGCGCCGCTGCGCCGCCGCTGCTGCTGCCGCTGCGCCGCCGCCACCGCGGCCGCCGCTGCGGCTGGCGGCTGCGACTGCGATGCAGCTGCAGCGGCTGCGGCCGCCGCTGCTGCCACGACCGCCGCCGCTGCTGCTGCCGCCGCCGCTGCTGCCACCGCCGCCGCTGCTGCCGCCGCCAGTCAGATTTTCAAGCATGAGATTGCACCCGATTACAAAAATAAGTGGAGGAGGACTTCTGCCGAGGGGCAACAAGAACTCACCGTGGCTCTCGACAGTGGCTGTTCAGTGCTTTGTATCGACTATGTTTTCGGGAAATCTCTCGGAGCCTATATCGACCCCAAGAGTTTCCCTTGCGAGTCAGGGCCAGGCTCAGCCCGCTGCCGGGATCGTGCAGCTGACAAAGGCCGGAATCAGGGCGGAGTTCAGCAGCCTAATTGAGAGGAGTTGGGCTTGGAGCTGAGAAGACTGATGCTGTGCTTTCAGCATTGGGGCACTTGGGGGCTTCGGAGCTCCGCTACGACTCTGGAGACTGCTCCGAGGCATCCACCAAAACCAGTAGAGGTTCCTCCAAGGCCAGAGTAGCGGAGGGCTGCAGCGGATGCTTGGTTAAGTTGAGGGCTTGCTGTCAGTGCAGTCTAGGGGCTTGAAGTGTCGCACAAGCCGCGTCGTTTCATCCTGTCCGGAGGTTGTGCATGTCCTCAGACGGCCTCCACTTACGATGCAGAGGGCAGATGTGTGGCCTTGTACCGCACGGAAGTGGAAGTCCCACGAATGAGCGCCTCACTTGAGAGCTCCCAAGGTTTCTTATGCTATAGGCTATAGCGATAACGCAGCAGGAATGCAGCAGAATACGCCTCGAATAATTCGTTGAAGAGGACAATGATGCCAACGCGGATCCAGGACTTGGCCAACAGTTGCCCATGACTCCATAAACTGCAAGCAGGCAGTCGCACGGATGAGGCACCAGACCCGGTGATAGTTGCCCTGAGAAATGGCAATGTACTCTGCACCTGCACATGAGTACGTTGCTACTCAAACATCTGCCATCTTCTTCAAGCATCTGCCAAAGCATTCCCCAGCACAGTATAGCACAGTGCTGCTGAGCTCTAGACACATCGTGGCCCGCTTGTCTGATGCATCAAGCGCAAGGAACACCTCTCTCAACCAACTCGACTCTTAGCATGGTGCAATCCGATCCATATCTTCAGTCTGAGCGATTCCTGGGGCGATTCCTTGACTGGCCTCAGGCTCGAGGTACATGCGCTGCATGCAGTAGCACCTGAGAAACACTTCACTCCCGCAGCCCTGGATGCGTTTCCGTGGCAAAGCCCAGCGCTCTGACCCCTCTAAGTCCTCGGCTTGACGACTTTGGACGCGCTGTCCGTGTTGTATGCAAACTCTGCCGTGGCCAAGCCTTGCCAGACTACTGTTGAGCTGCCAGGTTATTCTCAGACTGCTAAACTTAGTATGTCAGCTTCAGATACTCGACTATCCATTCGTCTAGGAATCTACGCGTAACCTGGTTGAAGCCGTGCCCTTCTGCCCGTCTTCTACCCCTCTGCTTTCAGTCTCGTTCTCATGGGCGTGGGGCTGTTTGGATTAGGCAGGTACCAGTAGCCTTCTCGGGTTTGGCATCATGAGCTTTAGACAAGCCCTCGCACGAAAGCCCAGCGGCCAACGATCTCGTGATTCTTGAGGTTTGGCCCCACAGCCTTGAGCACCAAAGCCAGATGCTCACAGAAGCCTAGAAGTCGCACGTGCTCATGTCCGTAAGCGCCAGACGCAGCGCAGGGAGCCGAAGGATACCTGGCCGTTGGCATGGTCCACCTCTGTTCGCACAAAGGTCCTTGGACATGCCGGGAGGCATTGCAGTCGGGGGCGCAATGAAGGCCGAGAACTGGGAAGCTGCCGGACGTCACGACCAGACCCCCGGGCCCCCGGGTCTAACCAAAGCTGAGGGAGCGGCGGGTGGTCCAGGTCAATCTTAGTGGACTTTTTGTAAAACAGGTGGGGACACGAGGTGCCAGCGGCGGCTCCACTGCTACAAGTGCCCATGGGGCTCGGCCAGCACGTTACTCTCTCGCAATCGCTACATCAGCCGTCGAGGGCCAGGCTGGCGTGGTGTCGGTCGTGATTGTTGCCATGTACCTGGCCCACCATCCCCTAAAAATTTATTTTTGCCACCCCCTGCGGCGTATTTGTTCAGAACAATAGTGCGCGTGAATTTCCTTCGGAACCGAAGCGAAGTGATGGCTTGCTCTTTCGCTGAAAATCCATTAAACCTGGAGCTCATTGTATTTGAAGACCCCAGGCAAACATGGCTTTCCAAGACCTCACACCAACAGACAATGTATGTCTTTGGGTTCAGTTGCTTCGTGCCAGCGGAAGATAATATACCGATTCCGTGCTCCTGGGCAGGACACTGGGAAAACAATAACATCTAGAGCTACAAGCAATTGTTTCTGCAGACCAAGTTCTGCAGTTATTTCCCTTCACGTCCCGGCGGTTCGGACCCCGTTCCCGACGGCAACTAACTGTTAACTAGCTCCCGATTTGAATATGCTTAACTCTTGGTTCCATTGCCTTCCGGTTGCAGTTTTCGACCATTCGAGATTGAAGAATTTAGAAATGCAAGAGTCTTTATGACATCAGACTTTCAAGAAGTTGGATAGGACAAAACGAACATGATCATACAACTAAAGCCCAACCCGATGATAGTCACAGATGCTGATGTGACGGTGTTTTGCTTGCCGGAGTTGCTTGTGCATTGTTCTCTGAAGCAAATGTTTTTGGCCTAGATTCATCCAAAAAACAAGGGATAACCTTGTCCCTGGGTTTGGCCAGTTTTTTTGCGCTGACAAATCCTATTCTCAACCTCCCATTTTCGTGTCCAGTTCGACCGAACATCCTCAAACTTCCCAAGAAGCAAGACAAAGTTCCAAATCAAAAGTGCATCAGTGTACTACTTCTACTTCATCTCCACGATGATGCTGAACATTTCTTGTATTGTGCAAGGCAGCTGCCAGTTTCAAGCAGAAGCTATGGGCGCGGCAGGCAATTTGCAGATGGCTTTCGAAGTGGCCTCAACAAGACTTGATGCAGAGACGGTTTAGGGTTTAGGGCTTGGGGTTTGGGGTTTGGGGGTTTGGGATAAGGATTTAGAGTTCCGAAATGGCAATATCAGGAACAATCCTGAAGCCCTGTGATCTCATGCCCAGCACATCTAGCAATATGGTGTCCACAAAGTCCATGCCTTCAAGTATGATGAAAAACTCCTGGCGGCTTCGACTTCAGGTCTTCATATTGGATGGGTGTCTAGTTGAAAACTCTGGTCACAAAGGTCCCGGCGAAGGAACGTTGCTGCCGTTCGCCTTGGCTCACTCACTGACTCTCAGGCTCAGGGCAGAACATGTCGAACATGAACACGTCGAGGACATGCGCAGCCAAGACATTGGAAGCTCCAGGTAAACGTTGGCGTCACTGTTCCGAGTCGACATGTGTATGAGCCCTGAAGTCGGCTCTTGCATTAGTGCCGGAAAATAAACAGACGAAGACTATGGATCCCTTGCTGCCCGTCACCCTGTCCCAGTTCTTGCATGATGCTACGACTACGAGTGCGTTTGACAGCTCCGAAGTACTCGTCCGTGGAAGAGCAGGCGGCCACCGCAAGTTGCAAGCACCATAGTAGATCCCCCCCCCCAGGTTTGAACGAACTGAACGAACCAGCACCCCAAACCTCCAGGAGAGCGTGCCTTGGCCGTGTCGACCACCTGCGGAATGACAGCCTGGCTACTGGGATCCCAGGTGCTCTCAGGACACAAGCTAGAACGTCCATGGCCGGGCTGATGTCTACTACCAGACAGCAGCTCATACTTCTTGCTGTCTTACAGACTACGGTCTTAAAGAAGATCAAATTGGGAGCAGAGCTCAGACGCTTGGTGGCGGCTTGCGACGGGCCTCCAGAGAACAAGACATCAGCTGAACTTCCGACCTTGGCGTTCACAGGGCGTTCATCGTGCGTCATCCATAGTCGTCACCAGGCCACAAACCCTGCCGGGTGCCCGCTGGGTGCTCTGCGTCACCATGCCATCTGGCTGCGCCAACTTTGCGCACTTGATCTGACAGCTTCAAACATCATGAAGGTCCAAGGATCCCAGTGGCCGCTCCTCCTACAACAAGCAGCAACGGAGTCCCACCTCCGTCGAGTCGAAGAACACCTAACCCCAGGTACTGCAAACAATGATGCATGAAGGGAGGTGATGGCTTAGCGCCCGCAACCGAGCATGCCAGCCGTTCACTGGATGGTGCTTGCACTACTTGCATGGTATTTCACCGACTCCCACAGACTCACCCGCAGAGAAGTGCGTGGGCAAAGGCGCTCACGGCAGCTACCCACGTCGCGCTGTCACTGGAGGAATTGCTGTCTTCAGACCTCAAGTGGCTATACGTAAAACTCTGTTTCGTCACATGGTGCAACGAGCACAATGCTAGGTGCGAAGCTGTGGCAAGGATGGGCAGCCTGGACTTCACCAGCAGTTCGGCATGGCCAAACTTGCCAACTACAGGCATGGCAGCGCGATTGCCATGACGTTCCAGATAGACTGCGCAAGACATGGCGCCAGCATTGTACCATCAGCATGCTGTGGACTGCGCCTTGCTCGTCTTCTCCACCCGGGCAGTCCTGACACTGGCATGAAGGGCAATCAGTGAATCCTACACTGCAGATTCCGCATCAAATGCTGCAACACCCGTCTCAGTCTGTTCAGCATCCCGCCTGCACATCATCACACTCGCGAGAGATGGGCACGCACCTTATCCGATGGTAAGACTGATATGATTGACATTTCCGCGAACGGCCCGACCTGCAGCCTTTTCCCAAGGAGAATCCTACTCCTACTCGTCCGGTTCTCTACAAGAATGCACTTCGTTGGCAAAGCACGCGCGACGTTCAACCTGAGGCGCAGGCACTGTGCCTGGGATCACCAGGGCATTCGCGCGAAACGATTCAAGGCTTTAAGGCTTGCGGGTCACCCAGCGTCTCCACGTCTTGCGTCCAGGCAGCCATTGCAAGGGAAGCCCGGGAGGCCAAAGCACGGATCGTCGCCTTGCACAGTGCCATTTTCGTTCACCTTACCGTCGATGTCGCTTGCAAACATGCAAACATCGCCGCCGAGGACGGGAAGAAAGGCAAGAAGCACCAAAAACTGAGGCACGTGCACTCGTATCTTTTGCTGATTGGTTGCCTGAGCTTACAGTCGCTGCTCCCATTGACGCAGCCATTGCTGTTTCGGTGTGCAGCATCACAGGACGAATACGAACACTGATTAAGTCCTTGGACACTAATGTGGAGACGACATGTGACGACCATAGGTCTTGCAATCACGACTCGTCTTGCGTAGATATAACACTCACCAAAACCAATGAGGGGGCTTCAGAACGTCCGCACGATCTCACACCTCAAGAACCACTGACTTGACCACACACGCCCACACACGCACACATACACCCGTGCGAACCATATCCTTGGCCGACCAGAGAGGTGTCAAGAAAGTGCTGTGCGAGAGTGGGTTAATAGAAGCACGCCCTCCACCGACTGCACAAGAACTGCACCACATTTCCACTGACTCATCCCGACTGCAAAGAAGTACGGACCTACACCAGCCTCCAAGGATGCATGTGATATTGTTTGTGTAAGCACTATGCAATGACAGAATGACCCTCACGCCAAACCTGAAGAAGGAAATGCGCACCGAACTGTGGCGAGAGCATGGTTGTGGGCAAGTTGCACACCGGACTGTCCCGAAAGCACGGTTTTGCCATTGCTGTGGGAAGGTTGCGATTGCGTGAAGGCAACACCCATAATCCGCGACTATTTGTTTGGTCTTGGAAACGTCGAAAAACCCAGGGAGTCACAAATGACAGGATCGAGTGCTACACAGACAGCTCAGCCGTCTCCACTGTCGACCCACCCTCAACCCGTACATGCGCCCTGCCCCTAAATACCCAGATGCAGCAAAGTCGCGCATTTGCACGCAGGCCGTCGTTGTGACCTCGACCCGAGGCCGCTGAGGTTGGGCGCCGTTTTGAAAGCTTTCACGCTCTGAGGAAAAATTTTGAGGCATGAGCGTTTCTCTGGAGCAGCACACCCCACAGATCCTGGCAGGGCCCCGCTTTAGCAAAAAAACAAATCAACAAGTCCGGCTTCTGAATGTCAGAATAATTCAGGGTTGGATGTGAGTGAGCTGTGTCAGTGCCTCGTCGGCACCATTCTCGCAGTCCTCACGTGGCGGACACATGGCTAAGTGCTTCTGGCAACAGATTCGGAACTTCACCCTCAGCTTGGTTTCCACTTTGTGCTTCGTGCTTGCGTGCCCACATGAGAGCTTTGGAAGCTCGCCTCACAAGCTTCTCACCGCGGTAGCGGCCCCCTCCTACTCGGCAGCAACCGGTTTCTTCGAACCACCGGAGCCCGCCATTCCGAGAACCGAATGTGCTTGCTACCCCGCACCAGGATGTTGCAGGAGACTACTCCGGTGTGCTCTGTGTCCTGCCATCCGTCACATTGGCACGCTCCACCAGGGCAAAGAACACAAACCTTATCTGCAGTATGAGCCCACACACAAATTTTGGAAGGCTGGCATTGAACTGATCCAAGTACATGCTCTCACATGCTGCTCAATCTGCGTCGAGCCACACCAAGTGCGCACTCAAACTCCGCGACCGTGCAGAGTTCCGGCTCCTGCGCTGCATGGATGAACAACATGTCAGGACCGGGATCATGAGTCAGCACATGGCACTCATCACGTCCAGTGCCTCGTACGTCACACTGGTCAGCGCTGTGCCCATGATGGCATAGGTGACATTGGAGATAAGCGAGCTTCCGACCTCGTTCAGACGAAGATGGCATCTTGTTGGGGCATTGCCCCGCGCTTGTTGGTAGGCTCGGCAACGTGACGACAACCTTCAAAAAACTCGGCACTTCTCAAGCCCTCTCGGTTGCCAGCAAATGCAAACGGCATAAGTTGTAACACTTTGCAATGAATACTACACCCAAGGATTTGGGAGGCGGTTGCTGAGGTGTTCGCCTGATCGTTCTCGAGGGAGACCACCACTTCGAGGTCTGGCACCTAGTTCGTTGTTTCGGAGTTTCAGGGTTTAGCCGGCTCGCGTTCAGCCTCTTGTTGCCTTAACCTGGACTGCCATAGTCAGCCCTTGTTAACTAGCCCCTGAACGTTCCTCCTGCGCGTTGCCCTTTGCAACTCGCTATACTGCCCAAGATCCGACGCGAACGCCGAGCCCCAAAATCGGAACTCTGGACAGCTCGATGGAAGACCTCGGTGGTCATGTCGGAGTAGGTCACATCTGGGATGGTCTCCTTGCGTTGGACATCTGTAGCACTGTCGGACTGCCGGTCTTGACATCCCACAGCTTAGTCTCCTGAGACACGTAGGTTCCAAGACTGGCTTGCAGGCGGGCGGCCGCCTCACATTTTGGCTTTTTTTCTAGCGATGAAAGAGTGTTGCCAGGATTTCCGCTCGAACTGTGGTCCCTGCTGTCTCCAGCTCCTGCACCATGAAGACTCTAAAAATCTGTCAAGAGCGTTTGTTGCCATGATCCAACGGACACGCATCCTCCATGCCAGTGGCATCAGCAGTTGAGTTCGCCTAAGTGTCTCCAGCAAAAGGTAGCCACTGAAATTCCCTCCCTCCCTCCCTCCCTCCCTCCCTCCCTCTCTCCCTCCCTCCCTCCCTCCCTCCCTCGCTCCCTCTCTCTCTCTCTTGCGCATGATGAGAGTCCGCGCTTAATTGGGTCTGGTGTGAGCCTCGCTGGATCCGCTGGATCCCTGTAACCCGAAAGCGTGCACATCATCAGCATCAGCTGGGCCTGTGGAATACCAACGATGACAGCGTCAGCTGGCACCATCAAGAGCATCAGTTATGGCTGTTTGGTGTTCTGAGGAGAATGTTCGTCAAAACCCTCAAATCAAAACAATCTGGTCTTGGCAGTCGGCGGTGATTGTCAGTGTCTGGACACCACCAGCGCTGAAGATCTCAGCAAAAAGCTTCAGCGCATGCGGATAAGGCACTAGGGGCTCCGTACATGAGCTGTGAAGGTTCTAGGGATTGAGGATTCACAGGAGTCAGCGCTTTTGTTTGGGGCGATCGCTCAGTGTCTTGTACTCTACGTTGCGGCGTACCCAACACCGGTGAACATAAAGTCCGGGTCCAAATGGGTTGAGGATGATGTGCCACGGCTCTGGAAGGCTCTTTGTGTTGATCAGGTCCTGAGCTGGCGGCCAGCGCTGGCGATGTTCGGACCTGACCATCGCACTGCAACGGACTGTGACCCTGAGCCTTCATTTCTACTCCAAATCTCAAAGTATCACTTCTGCACTATGGTGATTCTTGAATCAAAGTATCACTTCGGACATTCTTTCGCCCCTTCAACTGACCATCCATGCTGATAGCGCTTGTTGACCCCCCCGAATCAACGTATCACTTCTGCACTGATTGCTTGCTTCTGGGCCTTCTATCGCCCCCGCTTGGAATCTTAGATGTTCTAGGGCTTAGGGTCTGCACCCCAACCAGAATCGCCCTGCGCGTGACCTGCATCTTGCCGGTAAAGCTCGGTCTGGGCGTGGTCGGCGTGGCTTCCGGGGGCCTAGGTCGACAAAGGGCGCGGAGAAGAGAGCTCTCGGGAGCAAGAGGATAAAGATTTTGGAAGTGTGCTTTAGTAGCCTTTGTAGCGTTTATGTCGATGAGGTTCAGGAGCTCAAGTGGTTTTCAGGGTTGGCTTTGGCCAAGCATACCAGCCCTGAGATGCCGGCTGGGTTGTCGTCGTCTCTTCGGTGTCGGTGCCATTGCCGTAGGTTGTGCTGGTCATGGTGGTGCTGGTGCGGGTCACCTCGGCTTCAAAGTCTGGTGCGCGCAGCTCGCACTCGCACAGCGAGATCCAGCGAGGCCTTGGGCTGTAGGAGTATGGTGAGCGCAACGCATCTACACCACCCCGCCCCCTACAGTCGCCGCCGTCAAGCCCTGGAGATTGATGCATAAGAACTACAGTAACTGCAGGCTCAATCCTTGGTGAAGCAGCTCTCAAGATCGTAGCATGCACTGCCCGGGCAGGCCGAGGAGCGGAGTAAATTATCTACCCGAACCCCAACCCGACATCCATGGTTCATGCACCCGGTCGGGGTCTGGAAATGGTCTTCGGACGCTCTTCCAGTTGCACTCGAGTTGCTGTGGTCTGGAAGTTGACCTCCTCATGCCAGAAACAGGATGCACGTTACACACTCAGAGCTCCGACGCAGAAGTCCTGCTTCAGATATGAGCTCGAGCCATCATGAGCACTGACAAGGTTGCCTGAAACCTGGACTGGCATGACAAGCATGCACTGAACCAGCTGTATTGTATCCGCAGCAGACCAATCCCACTGCTCTGCACGGGAGTCGGCGGTCGCACCGAGGGACGGGCGTTTGCATCTGGCAAGGTGCAGCCTTCCTGCCTGGGCTAACTGGAACTCAAGGATTCACGGCGCGATTTTGCCCGGTTCTGAGCAATCCTCAGCACCTGGCACTTCCACGGACAAGAACAGGGACGAGTTGGTCTTGGCCCTTGCATGAGAAGCTGACTGCAAATCGCCCAAGGCTTCCGAAATTTAACCTCACCAATGAAGTAAGAGCCAGGCAGGTGTGCCAGCAGGTACTGTGCTTGCCATCGGCCCAGGGGCAGCGCCATACTGCCAGGGACTTGTGAAAGATTTCTATCATTGTAGCGCAGCACTACCACAAACAATATTGTCTATGGCCGCTACCAGTGCCAACCTTAGAAAACCGTGTGCCCCGTGTGTCCTGGCCCGCGCGATGCACACAGAGCCCCGAAGAACATGTTGCGCTTGCACCTGAGATTACCAGACACCGCGTCACTGAGCCGCCATTGCCACTTCAATCAACTTCAGTCTGCCGGGGCGCAATAGAAGATTGTAGCTTGCACTTCCAAGTCTCCTCAATGGCACCGGACGATATCGGATGTACGTCTCACAAACAACATACTGCTCCATGGCCAATGCCTGCCCATGCTACGAGTACTCGGTTCCACAAACGATGCGCTGATCTGCACTGAATGGCAGAAGGAGAGACTTGTAAGCACCTGGCGAGGTCGCATTCGAGCTTGGAGTCTTGGCCAATCGGTGGAAAGAGCCTGAGACAGGGGATGCACAGATGGTGCAAAGAGGAGGACGAGGGGTGAGGCAAAGCTTGACACGCCAAAGGTCACCAAAGGAACCCGAAACTCCAAACTGTCCTCCCCAAAGACGACTTTCCAAACTGTGTCTCGATTAGGAGGTCGGCACAGCACCCCGAGAAGCACTGTGCTGGTGTGGTGGCAGTGCTTGATCCTGTCCTATCCGGCCAAGTATGCTCGGCTTGTCTGCTGAGTATTGAGACAGAGGCAGAAAGGGAGAGATGGTGGGAGGAGCAGAGAAGAAGGAGAGAGTGAGAAAGTGAACCCGTGAAAGAGTGAAAGAGTGAAAGAGTGAAAGAGTGAAAGAGTGAAAGAGTGAAAGAGTGAAAGAGTGAAAGAGTGAAAGAGTGAAAGAGTGAAAGAGTGAAAGAGTGAAAGAGTGAAAGAATGAAAGAGTGAAAGAGTGAAAGAACAGCAGGGAAACACGGACGAGTGGCTAAATTCCTGATCTTGAATTGTGCCACGGGAGCCCGGGGCACCGACAGATCACAGTCGCTGTTCAACTGACAAGATTTTCCAAGCTGAACCTTGTCCTCAGCAAAACGAGTTGATAAGCAGCGGCCAAAAGTTTTCCTCAGAGGGATTCAGAACTTGGGGCCAAGCTGAGCACCTCTCCTCCAAGATCTGCGCCCTCGGCATGTGGCCGGTCAAAAGTCCACCGCCGATCCAGGATTCACGCAACATGCGAAGTCTTGCCATGTTTGCTGTCAGCTTGGGGGTCATGGCGTTGCACCCGGCACAGGTTGCTTGACCCAGCATAGGGGCTCAAGGCACTTTTTTTCCACTGCGAAGGGCGAACCTGTGTTATTGCCCATCAGCTCCGGCTGGCTCAAGGCACTGGACCCCCATTGTTTCCCCCGTTCGTGTGAACTTGCGTGTTCATTGGTCAGGCTGGCCTTCCAGCCCCCAACAGCAGTACAACGATTTCTCTCTTCTCCTCGTCCTTCTCCTTTCATCCTTTCTGAGGCGCAGGCAGGCTTCGGCGCAGCGTTGCGTTTCGCGAGCATGGCACGGCGCACAGCAGGGCGGGCTCGCCTTGCCCCACTCCCCCCGGCCCGGACACTCTCAGCGGGCCTGTCTCAAAACCAGGAGGGAAATCGTAACGTTAGTGCTTCGAGCATCCCCACCGTGTCCCTACAACCCAACTGCAAGGCTTTCAAGTTGCAATGTTGGGAAGTAGTGTTTTGCCGTTGTTCCATGTTGGCTCAGAGTTTCTGGTCCGATGGAGCAAGCTTTGAGTGCAGGGTTGGGCTTTAGGGCAGCACGCAGCACTCGGCGTTTGGTGTTTTGAGGTTGGTCGTGTCTAGGAAGCTAGCTGACGTTGTGGTAGCTTCGGATGGCGGTTTGCTGCAACTATGATTTGCTACGAAAAGAATTAACAAACAAATGAATGGCTCAAGCTTTGGGATATTGCAACTGAGTTTTCGGGCGGCTGCAAAGCCACATACCTTATGACTTCCAGCGAATGACGTTGCTCCCGACTATTTTCGAAATTGGAGGATGTTCTTGGACGCTTGCGTTTTGCAGCCGGGGGGCCCTAATTGAAAAAACGTGATATCAGAACGCTTACCCATACGGAAAGCATACATACTGAAAGCATGCTTCATGGACATTTTGGCACCTTGCTCCACCGGCTTTAAAAAATAAATATTCGGCATGTTGAAAACTTACAAGTCCCTAACGCATTTCTGCATGACCCTCTGTCCTGAGCAAATCACATCACACTGATCAAGTTCAGCACCCGAAATACGTGAAAAAACACTACAGCTACAACATCCACGCCTCGCAAACGCGAGTGGCAGCCGCAGAAGTCTCCTTGCACCTTTTGTGGGGAAGGCACTGAGCCTCTCCCATCCGGGCTCCCTCTGCTCCCTGTCGCTAAAGCATGCCAATCTCTTGTGACTGCAGTGCAGCAAGATCTAAGTTGTGCTCGCAGGGCTGCGTCTGCGCAAGGACAGCTTCAGCCTGCCAGCTGGCAAGGTCAGCAAGAGGAGGCAAAGGGGCTAAGAGAGCTGCCAGAGTCTTGTTCAAAGCACAAGATTCATGTTGTGCCAGACAAGAAATCAATGCACCTCAGAAACAAATATCGCCTGTAGCACTCTTACCAGCACGGTACATTCGGCCTCTGGACCGCATGGTGGGTAAGCGGTGGCAAGCCGAGAGTCCGCACCTCAGGGCGGAGCGCACGTCGGAGCATGCGGAGCACATGGCCAAAGACATGGAGGTGGAACATGAAACAGTCGAGAGGCGCAGCTTGGCTCCTTTCCAGAGCTCTTCAGCCAAGTCCCGGACAAGCTGCTGTCAAGTAGCGCTGTGCAAAGGTCAGACCTTGGAGAACTCGAGAGCTGTCGCGAGAGCTGTCAGAGACCCAACAACACTCAAAGTGACAAGTTCTTAAAGGGCGGTTCTCAGCGCGCCTGGTCCCCGCCAGGATGCTGCCAGCATGTGGTGCCTGAGCTCCTTCCGCCGCTTTCAGGTTCTTTAGGACCAAATGTTAGGACTTTTTTTCGTGACATAGTGACGATCTAGGCTAGCTTTACATCAAGTCAGTGCCTGCAAAGACAGCTCCATCGTGAAGACCGCCGCCTTGTTGCCACAACAGAAAGGCTGCGCACCCAGGCAGCTTGGAGATTGTCCTAAGTCTGAAGCCACGTCGATTTCACCCTGGTAGTTCCTCGGGTCAGGATCAGCCGGATTCTGGCCTACTGAATATGCAAGTCGTGGCTGTATGAGTGCCAGCAGGATTCGCCAGGGTTGCGTCTGTCTGGGATCTGCCAATCATGACCTGCGACAAAAAAAATCCAAAGAGCCGGCTGCGATAAGACTGTCATAAGCACGTCCTGGCCTTGACTGATGCAGGTGAAGACCATCCGGCGCTTTCAGCATCCTACATAGGGCTGAACTAACACAGTAACTCTGGATGCTAAGCTCTTGATTCATGTAACGACAAAGGTTTTCCGTTTTGGACCAGGACCGACCTCAAGAATAGGGTTGAATCTTTGAGTTAAGCCTGTCCTGGAGGGAGCGCTGTGCGAGGACCACACCTGGAAAGGGTCTAAGACCCTAAGTGATCGCTGCACCAACATCCGAGTTACACCCTGGGTATGCTGTTTCTTGAAAACCTGCAACAGAAGGGGCATGAGATTCCGAACCATCAGAGAAAGATCTTTGTATGGTCACTATACTTGTGGTGTTACTGGAGAAAGCATGTAGATAACTAGTTACTAGTAACGATTGTAGGAGCGGTGGCCGTGGTAGCGCGAGTAACAGTAAGGACAAACGCGGCGAGCTCTTGCCCCGAACTCTCATCACCCAGCGTTTCTCAGGCACCTTTCGAAAATCTTTGCTGCGTTCCAACATGATTGAACATCCTCGATCCACAACCCCGTTTCCTTGGACTCCGGCCGTCCGCAAGGAGCACCTCCCCGTGCAAGGTACCCAGCCTGGCGATTTTTGTGAACACGTCAGTGTAACCAACATTAGGGCTCATTACCAGTAGGCGGAAACAGGTTCACAGCTACGTTGGCGAAACTTCTTTGAACAGGGCGAGAAGACCTTGGGCTTTGGGTAGACTAGCGCCCTGAACTGTCTAGAATAAACAAGTGCTCCTTAGTAGGATTACTGAATGACGACATGTTACATTCTGGCCGTCGCTGAATGACCCTGAGGCAGCGGCGAGAAGCCCACGAAGTGGAAGTTGCCATCGTTGAGGAGTGGACCCGCCACTGGCCTGGGGGTTCTCTGGAATCTCTGGTGCACAAATGGCATGGAAATGGAGCCTGGCAAAAAATCGACCAAGTACCTAAGCCAATAACCGCTGCATGAGGCCCTGGCTGGAAGAGCGTACCCGAAGGTGACTTGGCAGCCTCACTTGCGCAGACGCAATGCTTTGGACTTTCAAGCTGGTCCTCCTTTGTACCTACCAATACAGTCTACCAGACACGCGGGCTCGTCGCACGTGTGCGTCCGACTTGCACACTTCCGTTTCGCAGACTGAGGCACGGGCTAGGTAGCCGCTTCCGTCCACAAACAGCGTGCCACCTGGTGATGGGGAGTTCTTTTGCTGATGCTTGGCGAGGTTCGGCGGTTGACTGGTTGACGCAAACTGGCCAAACCCTCAAACTGCAAAACCTTGCCTCCCAACAAGCCGGCAATGGTGCAGGAAGTGCAAGTGCTCTTCACCTCGTCATCTCAGAGTGCACGTTTGCAAGAGAAACAGCTGTAGGGGTGTAGGGTTTGCAGAGGGTATACTGGGTTGTCAAGACTCAAGATTGCTTGTCCTGCCTTGCGAGCACATGAATGAACGAGAAAAACAGCCACACATCCCCAGGCACACGGCCCACATGTGCATCGCATGGCTGGACGGGGCTGGCACCTCGTCAGAAAGCAGCTGCACGTTTGTTGTAAGTCTTCTGTAGATGCAGAAAGTATGTGATTTGACCGGCTCTGTGAATGAAAGCACCAAAGTTCACCAAAGCGTTGAGAGGAGTCCAGGAGAGTCCCCAGAAGAGTCCAGGTACTGATTGCACATCTCCAATTGCTCCCACGAGGTCTGGGAGAGTCTGGGCTGTGAGCCTCGGCCGCACTTTGCAGCCAATCCTCTCCTGGACAAGGCTGTCGAAGCCATCGCGAAAACAAAGAAACGC